TACCAATGATAACAACAAGCAATATAACATATCAAATTATGATATAATTAATAAAAAACTTACAATTTTATTTATCCGTTGACGGGAATATTTTCTGCAAACTTTTACTTCATTATAATATTAAACTCTTTGATTTTATAAAGTTTATAAAAATATATTTAATTTAAAATATATTATTATTGTTTCAAAAGCACAACAAACATTATACAACACAGTCAATTATAAAAAAATAGTGTTTTTACTTTACTTAAAATATTTTACATTTTATTAAAAGTGAAAATATTTATTTCTGGGTTGATATTTTATTTAATTTATTGTTATAGGTTTTTTTACTAACATATATTAAAAATTTTGTTTTATAACTATTTCTCACATAATTGTTTTACATGTTAAATTTTAATGTTTTTGTAGAGATTTTGTATTTAAATGAGTTTTGTTTTGTTTTGTATAATTAATAAAATAACACAAGATAAAGGTAATATTTTTAAACTACACTTAAAATAATTTTTTATATTATCAAAAGAAAATAGATTAAAAATGGTGGTTTACCGAAAATATTTTAAATGAAGAATAAACAATATTATATTACAATTTATCTATAAATTAAAACAGATTCATAGTTATTATTATCAATGTGATGTAAGTGAACTATCGTTTTTAACACATAAGAGTTCCATTTTGGATTTAAATGAAAATTATTCTTTCTACTTTATTTTTCTTCGTTTACACATACTTTTCTATTTATCACTTGTCTTTTTAAAAATATAATAATTTCACATAAACAAAAATTTTAACATAAAAACTTTTAAAAACCTTTAATCTTATTAATATTAAACTTATAATCAAGTTAGATATAATCATCACAATAATTTTTTGTCAAAATCTTTCTAATTAATATATAATCTTTTCTTTATTATAATTATTGATTTCTTATGGTATTTATTTTAAAACTAAAACTATAAATGTATTTTTAAGGAATAAATATTTTAAGTCGTTCATATATAAATTATTCTCATATATGAAAACAAGTTCAATAATATATTAAAAACCTTTTATTTTTTAATTGATTAATAAATGTAAAATTAATCTATAATTTAAACAAATATTGGATCAAGTTCCTTTTTTTCCCCAGAAAAATAAACAAAAAAATAATTAAAAATAAATTTATTAAAATCTTTATAATATTAATAATTCCTTCTAAGTTCTTTTTAAATCTAAGATTATTTTTCCAAACCAATTCCTTTAATAATAAATTAACCTTTGATTCCACAACACCTTTGTGTATTTTTAGAATATACCTACATTTATTCCATACACTTTCAATGTTCTGAGTGTGAAAACCGGTTTGATGGTTCACAAAGGTTTCACTGTGATTAACAGTAAAATGGGAAAATCGGAAATTACTATTACCAATGCGAGCATAAGCTCGCCATTCATCAGAGTGTATTACATTCCCAGGCAAACAAACTTCCTTTATTATTGGAAAAAACGTAGAGGCTGCCCTATTGGGAACAACATTCAATGAGATTTTAGCCGGAGTGAAAGACACATCTGCCAAACCAAATACCCATATCTCTCTTTCTGGCTGTCTGCCACGATTGTATTTTTGTTTGTGTCGAAATAAACTTTTATCTATTTGAACAACCATACCGTCACCTCCGAGGCGAAGCCGGTTTTCAATTGCATGTTTTAAACACTGCCTTCGTAGAAGATCAATTATTTTCATAATTACCTTTCTTCCCACATTCACCTCTGACCCTATTTGTACTTGAGTTTGGTTGTTAAACCATTTATAACATACAGTATTACTCAAAAAAACGTGACCACTAAAATTTTTAAAAAATATATTGTTATACAGTATTTTATTAAAATTTTTTTAATAACAGTATATATTTAAATAATAAACACAGCTAATTTCAAAAAATAATAATAAATTTTATG